GGGGGGCGGCCCGAGGGGCTGCTCAACTTTCATGTTGATAATGTCATTAGTTGAGACCCTCCACCAAAAATGTAGGGTTTTTTTCTTCAAAAGATTGTAATAATGGAAAAAATCATAGTTTGGTTATGCAAATAGAATAAGGCTTACACACTGTCAATTTTATGTTCAACAACGGTAGTCTGTTTCCCACCACCTTACTTTCCCCAACTGTAAAGTTGTGAAAATAGGGTTGGCAGTGGTAGCAAAGAAACGATAATTTCCATTTTGGAGATTTGGGTTTGAACGCCTGAAAAAAATACTTGAATAATGGGGAGGCCAAACAATGGAAATGAGTCTGACGTGCTCAGATGATTATGAGTTATTCTGGTAACTATAAATGGAGGAATAGTTTTGAAACTAAAACTGAATTCTAACATAAATATGGAAAAATAGATGTCTAGAAATAGCACTTTTATGAAAATTCTATGCTTGCTGAAGATAGCATTCCTAATTGTGGTTTAAAAAATGGGTTGTTGAGTGAAATGGTACTAGTCAACTTGCTAGTTATGTGGTATAAGACAAGACGTTTGGTTTTTGGCCTACAAATGTTTAAAAATTAGAAAAATATATAAAAATATTAGATGTCATAATACAATCATTTTGTAATCCTGGAAATCCAGATCCAAAGGTCTAGAGTCCATGAAAGGCAGCTAAGTATAACTGGCCAGTTTTGTTAATAGCTCTACTGTCCCAAAGTCAGATGACGCTGGAGAGATAATCACAAAGATTGGTCAGACAATAGTTTCACATTCCATTCAGACCTTTGGTGCTTGACAGCAGACAGCTGCTTCAGCAGGTAGAATTCCCACATACTCGGAAAGGAAGTTGATTTCTCTGATAAAGAAGTGGTTACAAATCAATAATAGGTGGTTGGATGAAAACATCTCTTTCCACTGGACCAGTTCTTAGATACGCCATTCTTTTGTAATACACAGTGTTCATAAACCTGAAGCCCCAGCAAACAGTCAAGTTTCTTTAGTCCTCTGGATATGAGATAATTGTTGGAATGGATATCACTAGATTACCGTTAGGAACGCAGAATGCACTAACATAATATATACTCAAAAAACCCTCATACTTTTGACAAATGCTGAAGCTCTAAAATGTCAGAGTGCTCTTATATGAAAGGGGAGAAGGTTAATGTTTCCCTTGAAAAGGAAGAGACCCTCAGGCCTGACAACACATATAGAGTTAAAAACGTCAGATGATTATATTGGAAATATTTTTTAAAAATTGCTACAGTAATATTCCTGCTGAACCTACAAAACACAAGTGAAGTCCAATCAACAAAAGTTCCAGGCCATATAGAAATAATGAAAGACATTGTTGGTGCCAAGCCTAGGATTTCTTTTCTCCTCTATAAAAGGTAATACAATACTTTGACATTGGAAAGTTTACTAGGTTTTATCTTTAAACGTGTTAAAATTTCCAAATATAAAGTTATTAACAAGATAATATTGGAGGACCAGCATAATAGCTCAGCAGATTAAAACGCCTGCCAGCCCTGCCCCTGGGGCACATTGAGACTGCAGTTGAGAATGAGCGTGGTAGCACGCTCCTGCAATCACAGCTCTTGGGAGGCTATAAACAGGCAGATCACTCCGAATCCAATCTAGTAGTGAGACCCTGAACACCCTGTACACCCTTCCCTAAAATACATACATACATACATACATACATACACACACACACACACACACACACACACACACACACCAAAAAATTGGGTTCTGAGGATCAACTAAAAGAAATTTCTAGAGATCAACCCATGTGAATATTTTAATGAAGTTCTATGATGTTTGAAATATGGCTTTATGTAGGAATATAAAATTGGTATATCTTGAACTATTTGAGACAAGAAAAATATTAGTAATTTATATGATCACATTTGACTCATTAGAATTCACAAGTGAGTCCGACTTTATTTTAGGATCTATAAATGTGTGCCTCGTGACTTTCTGATGTAACACAGCTCGTGAAACTGATGAAGTCATTTGTATGAATAGAAGATGGACATGGCATTCTAACGAAAAAAACAGCCTGTATAATGTTGTTAACAGTGATTTTACTTTTGGTGTGTGGGTGGTTGAAGCCATGATCAAATTGATTGTTGTTTAAATCAGGCCTGTCCCCTTGAGCTCTCTAGTAGTTATGTGTTCCATCGTCACACGTCCTTACCATAGCTACCTGCTCAACTTCGTTATTGAGCACTTGAAATGTAGTTCGCATGCGTGACAAGATGAATTTTAAATTTAGCTATTGATAGTTAAATTTTAATTTAAGTCAACATAGCTAACTAAAGATTACATCAGCAGACCAGGAAAATGTGTGGCAGGTTAGAATTAATAGTGCAGGAATTCAAGCTTCATCTTTTCTGGAAAGGATGCAATGTTATTGACTACTGAGAACAGTCCTTAGGAGGGTAAAACAAGGGATTAATATTTGCTGACAGAATTTGTGGGAACTGCAAATGAAAACAGAGGCAGGGATTTTAAGAGAGCTGACATCACTAAAAGAGTAAGTGTACCACAGCTGAATATTCAACTAGGGATACCAATAAAAATGTAATGAAAACTGTTTAACCAGTTTCTGTAGTGAAGGGGAAGCTGTAACAAGTGACAGACAAGCATTTCAAAGCCCTCAAGTACATGGAAAAATAAAGCAGCCCACTGTACAGAGTGTCCCAATTCTATAATTTAAAATATGATCCACGTTTCTTTGACTTGTACATGTAATTTGAGAGTAGTTTACAGAAAGGAGTATTTTTATCAGTTGGACAAAGAATGAAATATTTTCTACATTTGCATCATGATGTAGAGTCATGCACTACGTAAAAGGTTCCTATCCACAAAGACAACTGGAGGACACTCTTAGCACCTTCAGTGGCTTGCACTGACACGAAGAGCATCAGGAGATGCTGGAGCACAGGTAAGGCTGTGTCCAAGGATGAGTGCAGCCCTGCATAGCACCCAGCGTGGTCGGTGTGGTAGGCACGATCTCATGGTGCTGTAATGAGAAATGGGCTGACCTATGCAGATCACATTTGTGGGACATTATCAGGCTAACATTTCAGAGTTGTTAAAACTTTAGTTTATGACATTAAATTTATGATACTTCTGAAAATTGTTCCTTTTGGGGACTCTGATGTGCTGAAGAAGATGGAGTAGTCTATTTATGAAGAGGTACAATTGCTTAGATTGTCTTACAAGGCGGGATAGATGTGACTGTTTGCTGCCTACTAGATTTCTTTCTGTTAATATAGAAGGGCAAAATATGATTATTTATCAAACTGTGCTTTGTTTTTGGTCTATAAATATATAAAAGTGTACACTTGATGTAGACTTTACATATATACAAAGTTGTAGCATTTTCTCATCTTGAAGTCTAATCTGAATCTATAGTGTATCCTAATCATTGAACATACTTTTATTTTATATTTGCACATTTGTATAGCTGTTATATAAATATGGAGAAATTTGAAATAAATGAAGCCCTTTCTTTTATTAAGAAAATAGAATTATCTGTCCTTGTACATTCAATGTATACTCTCATTTTTTATAACCATGGCATATAATGTTACATACTATAAATTGTGATTTAAACAAGAAGTAGTTTTTTTTTTTCCTATTAAAGGGATAGGGCCGGCCACATAGCTCAGCGGGTTAAGGCACCTGCTTAGGCAGAGTGCAGGGGCTGGGGGTTCAATCTCTGGTGTGCTGTGCTGGCCCAGCCCCCAAGGTGCACTGAGAGGATGACTGAGAATGGGCGTTGATGGGTGTGTCTGTAATCGCAGCCCTTGGGAGGCTGAAAACAGGAGAATCACTGTGAGTATGATCTACATAGTGAGACCCTGTAAGACCCTGCAGACTCTGTACTAAATACATAAAAATAATTAAATAAATAAATAAAGGAATAAATGTTCTTCACATAGCCTAGTTAATGTTCAAAAAGAAAAAGTAGCTTGGCTTTATTATCAGCTAGTTAGATTTTTTAAAAAATTTTTTTCTATAATTTTATTGAGAAACAAATAGCAGTGAGACAGTTTCAAATCAAATTGGTAGGACAGTTTCAATAGTTAACACACTGCATACATTCTTCCTAGTGGTTATTTGCTGTACAAGATGCAGACATGATATCCTGTTTACAAAGACTAAACAAAATGGAACGCTTCACAAATTTGCATGTCATCCTGTGCAGGGGCCGTGCTAGTCTTCTCTATATCTTTCCAATTTTAGTATATGTGCTGCCAAAGCGAGCACAACTAGTCAGATTTTAGTGAGATCATTTCTAGATGCTTTTTCTGGATGATTCAGTTGACTCTAGTGTTTTTTAAAAGTATTATTATTATTATTATTATTATTATTATTATTAGGCGGAACCGGGGATTGAACTCAGGCCCTTGAACTTGCCGGGGGAGTGCTTATTCTACTGAGCCATCTCCCAGGCCCTATTATTATTTTTAACCCTAAAAGAGCAATGTTTTGCTTATCGTGTGACCATTAGAAGGATGTGTAAAAGTTTAGCCCTGCCCCAGCTTTCCTTGCAATCAGAGTCACTCTCATCTTGGAAAGTGTGAGCTGTCCTTCCTTCTTGGAGAGAAGACTAACTGTATTTTGCACTTTATCTGCTTTAACTCAATACAACATACTGCCAACTTTCCATGTTTGAATATAAAATTGTAACACTACCTGGTACATATTTCCAGAGACTTGGCATATTTCCAAAGAAGTTTTTTGCAAGCACACTTGCAAGTGTATGTGTATAATTAGCAAAATTGTGTAAGGCCTGGGCAACAATTTTTCATAACTCTAATATGGAATGTCTCCACACAGTGTGTAATTTTATTTTAAAAATACAGAATTTCATACTCTAAAATGAAAGAATGAAGCATTTTTATAAAGTAATTCAGTTTTACGGTATAATGCTTGTCCAAAGGCTGGATGATAAAACCATTTCTACATCTTCAAAGAAAGGTGATTGTTCAATTATTATTGAAAGTTTTCTTAAGAGCTTTTTTATTTAATTAATTTCATTGAGCAAGAAATAGCAATGAGAGGTTCAAAACAGGTTAGTAGGACAGTTATAAAAACTAATACATTGCATATTGTTGTCTTCATAGTAGTTGTTCATAGTATAAGATGCAGACATGATAGCTTGTCTAAACATTATTAGTACAAATCTTTCTTCTTATTGAACTAAGAGAAAGTAGATGTATAGCTATCCTATTTGGTATATACATATATATTTTTTTTTCCAGTACAAAATGGTCTTTCATTTATATCCCTCTTTTTTGTTTTGTTTTGCCAGAGATGGGTATTCCATTGCCATTCAAATACCGTAGGTAAAGAACTCTTAAATAGATACAGAATAGAATTAATGATGCTAAAAATTTCTCATTTGTAGATTTATATATGAAAATACATAATATATGAATTATATACAATGGGTTCACGTTAACTTATTATATATAAATTATATGTATAATAAGTTTGTCCTAATATTTCTTTCTTTTTTTTGAAAAACTGGGGATTGAGATCTAGTCCTATCCCAGGCCCAGTGAGTATGTGGGAGAGCTTCTGGCAACCCTACGCTAGAATGACCTACTGGTCCCAGCCATGGTGCAGTGTGGGTGAGACCCTCTTTTAGTCCCTTGGGATGTCCCCCATCATGCGGCAGCACCTCCCACACCACACCCACCTAGTAGGAATTTCTGCTGCTCTCTGGGAACCTCCAGATCCAGTCCTAACACAGGCCCAGTGAGTGTGTGGGAGAGCTGCCTCTCCCCCCTACTTTACCTTGTCCCCTCCAGACTCAACTCAGGCCTGGCATACAGGCCTGGGGTGAAACCCTGCAGCAGCAATCCCTGCAGAGAGTATAGGGTAAAGAACCAACCAGCTAATCCAGGAGCAGAACCTCTTGACAGAGGGGCACAACAGGTTCACCCCTAAGGACAGCAGCAGAAAGGAGCTGAGCACAACAGACAGACCAAAGCCAAGCACAACTGGATAAATCCAAACTTTGTAGATCTGAACCGGAACTTCAGTAGGTGCTAGGGCTATAACTGCACCAAAGATCTACAACAAAGGTCAGAAGACAGTGCTACATAAAATGACAATGAAAAGGAGAAAAATACAATCTCAGAAGCCAAGCCCACCCATAACAAGTGCAGAGGACATTAACACAGAATAAAGTGGGAATCACACAAACAGCTAAAATCAATGAATCAATGGCTTCTGAAATAAAGAAACAGCTACAGAAAGGTATAGAAGAACTCAGATTGGAAATGAAAAAAGAAATCCCTGAATTAATAACATCTGCAGTAAAGAATCAAATGCAGAAATATATGGAGGAAACCCAATGCCCACCCAGAACAAATGCAGAGGACACTAGCTCATCTCAAATGTACGAATTAATAGTGTCGATAGTAAATAAGCAACAGCAGAAAGTTATAGAGGAACTCAGTGTAGAATTTTCTGAAATAAGAGAAGAATTTGCGGAACTTATAGCAACTGAAGTAAAGAATCAACTACAGAAAGATAAAGAGGAAACCCAATCTGAAAAAAACACTGCAGTAAAACAATTTATAACTGCTTCTAAAGAACAAATTGATAAAAAATAGAGGAAATTACAAAAATGATGGATTCCTTCAATGAGCAATACAGGAAAGAAATAGATCACATGAAGTAGAGTCAAAGAGATATAGAGGAATTTAAAATCTCAATCACAAGCTTGCAAAACCATTTAAGTGAAAGGGAAGACAGAGTTTAAGAACTTGAAGATGCTGGTGCATCTAGTGAAAAGGAAAGAAAAGATCTCTTAAAAACAACTAGCATGCAGGAAAAAATAATGCATCACCTGCAAGAAGATGTAAAGATGAACAATGTGAGACTAATAGGCATCAATGAGAAACAAGGAGTCAATACAAATAACATTAAAAAATATGGGCAGAAGTAAGAGCAGAAAACTTCCCAAATATGAGGAAACAATCTGACATTCAGGAAACCCCAGCATACAGAACTCCAAAGAACATGAACCCAATTAAAAACACACCCAGACATATAATAGTCAAGATCCAAAAAACTCAGCACAAGAATAATCTACTGAAAGCTGCTAGAGAAAAGAAGCAGATCACATTCAAAGGAAAACCCATCAGAATTATGGCCTACTTCTCTTCACAAACCATGAAGGCAAGAAGAGCATGGAGCAGAGTACTTCAAGTCCTCTATGAAAACAAATACCAGCCCAGACTACTATACCCTGCAAAACTCTTTCAAGTTGAATGGGGAAGGGAAATACTTCCATGACAAAGAACCGTTAAGAATTTCATGATGACAGAGCCAACCCTACACAGGCTACTAAAAAATGTTCTAGGGAGGGACCAAAATGATCAGAACTCCATGAATGAGATAGGAAGCAACAAACTTAATAGGGCAAGCAATTAAACAGTAAAAAAAAAAAGGAGTAAACGACAACAGGTAAATAACATGTCAATCATAAGTCAATACATCTCAATTATAACCATCAATGTAAGTGGACTCAATTCACCAATTAAAAGAAATAGACTGGCACAGTGGATTAGGAAGCAAAATGCAACAATATGCTGTATACAAGAAACACACAACACATAAAGACATTCATAGGCTGAAAGACAAAGGTAGAACACAATACTACACGGCCCAGTACCTCAGAAAAAAGTAGGGGTAGCAATCCTATTCTCAGACAGTCTCAACTTCAAATCAAGAATAATCAAATGAAATAAAGAAGGCTACTATATACTGGTTAGGGGAAAAATACAATAGGAAGAGGTAACACTCATAAATATGAATGCACCAAACACGGGGGCACCCAAGTATATAAAGCAAATCTTAATGGATATGAAAAATCTAATATCCAATACCACAGTCTTAACAGGAGACCTTAACACCCCCTTATTTCCAAAAGATAGGTTAACCAGACAAAAACTTAGCAAAGAAATAACAGACCTGAACCAGAGCTTGAAACAAATGGATTTGGTGGATATATACAGAGTGTTCCACCCAAACACAGCTGAATACACGTTTTTCTCAGCTGCACATGGGTCATTTTCTAAAATAGATCACATACTGGTCCATAGGTCATGCTTAAGTATATGTAAGAAAAGAGAAATTATCCCATGCACATTATCTGACCACAGTGAAGTGAAACTGGAAATAAATGACAAAGAAACCAGAAAAAAAAACCCTAAATACATGGAAATTAAATGACACCCTAATCAGCAACCAATGGGTCACAGATGAAATTAAACAATAAATTCAACAATATCGACAATTCAATGAAAATTCGAGCACAACTTATTGGAATTTATGGGATACGATGAAAGCAGTTCTCAGTGGTAAATCAATAGTTGTGAACTCACACATTAGGAAAACAGAACAGGAACAAATAAATACCCTAATGCTGCACCTTCAACAACTAGAAAAGGAAGAGCAAACCAAACCCTGAACCCAAGGACAGGAAGAAATCATAAAGATTAGAGCAGAAATGAATTCAATTGAGATGAAGAAAACAATTCAAACAATTAAAAAAGCAAAATGCTGGTTCTTTGAAAGATTAAGTAAAATCAATAAGACCATTGCTAACCTCATCAAAAAGAGGAAAGAAAACTGGAAATACAAGCAACAAAGAATGAAAAGGGTGCAATTAGCACAGAACCGGTGGAAATTCAATAGATTATCAATAGCTACTTTGAGAAACTTTACTCTCACAGAATAGAAGACACAGCAGGAATGGACAGATTCCTAGAAAGGTACAAATTACCACAACTGCAT